GGCTTATCGTCACAGTTTCCAACAGATTTCACATAGAGTATTCAGCCGCGAGTTTCTCGTTTTACTTTCGAAACAGATAACCATCCCATTTGTGTATAGAAAAGATAGGATCGGTGTTCCGAAATAGAATTTGTTATGCAAAAATTCAAACCCATTACCCCTAATGTGGGATGTTGTCACATAAAACGCTCCTCGTAGCCCTGCTTTGAGCTAGATTAATGATTCCATGTAATGTATTGAAATGGTTTGTGTTATCCTTCATTACAAGTTTCTAAGGTTCTGTGTTCTACGTGAAATCTATAGCTTACTTTCGTGTCGTTCAAATGTTACTCTGATCAGTAAAATATGTTTTTCTACAAGGGAATTATTGTTAGACGTAGTAAGTCCCCAGCAGTGGCGTTTTAGGGTACATATTTTTAGCATAGAGATTACGCTTCGGTGCTTTCGTTTGCGTGTTTTTTAGAGAATATATCTCCTCTTCACCTACAAAAAAGTCTATAAACGTAATGGATCGCCAGATTTAGATACCTAAGAATATAAAGTTATCGAGGTTGTAAGGGCGCCCCGCTCAGGTGCCCTTCTCCTTGATTATCAGCGTGAGCTAGAGGTGTAGGAATAAAGGAAGAACTAGGAGCTGTCATGATCTTAATATGACTTTATTAAGATCTTTAACTTAAACTTCTAACAAATTAGATAATAATAATATATGTGAGAGAATCTACGGTGGCTTAACTCACAATATATATATAATACCGAAGTAACGTAACCCGGACCACTATCAGTACTAACTTCCCTAAGCTCAACTCCTAGACTATCACAGATCCGAATATTAAATAGTCACTCCTACCTTTAATGTAGAACGAAGTCGTAATCAATATAATCCTGGATGAAGTTGCAGTTTACTGGAGTGGATCTTGACTTAATGGCTCTCTGTCACGAATAACTTCTGTTGGCTATCATTTAACCTTTCCAAAACCTCTTCGCGCTTGAATCGCTGATTATCATAACATTCCCTGAATTGCCACCCAGCTTACTCTAACTTCTGATATTTAAAAGCTTCCTAATTTGCATCTTTCCTTCACGCTTCACTTCTTGGATTTGGTTGGAAAAGAGTTGCCATTAATTCTGGCCCTAAAGAACCCAAAGGACATGCTAATGAAAAGACGCGTGAGCCCGTCACATGGTCACATTTGATGATGGTGTGTCAAAATATTTATGGTAGCAAAAGGTTAGGGCTGTTTCCTTTCTTACCGATCTACAAGTATACGAGGTGTGTAAATTAAGTAATGAGACTGGTAGCGTAGTGTTTGATCTGGCAACACTGGGGAAGAGGGACATGGAGGGGAGGTAGGTAAACATGTGATGCGTCATCAGTATGAGTTTGATGTCGCTGAGTCAAGTTAATTGTCTCTAGTGATTTGTTTAGTGAAACAGGTTTTTCTTGTGTGTTCTGAAATGAGTGACAATAATTTCGATCAACGATGTGCTATCAAGTTTTGCTTCAGACTTGGACACAACGCAACGGAAACATTTGCAAAACTTCAGCAAGCCTACGGAGACAGTGTTTTGTCAAGGGTCCAGGTTTTTTGATGGTTTAAGGCATTTTCAGAAGGAAGAGAGTCAATTGAAGATAAACCTCGCAGCGGAAGACCCTCAATTTCAAAAACCGCTGAAAATGTCGCTGAGTCCGGGATCTTGGGCGTTCAGATCGTCGCTTGACAGTCAGAATGATTGGGGAAGAGTTGAATTTGAATCACACCACTGTTCATGAGATTTTGACCAATGAATTGAAGATGAGAAAGATCTGCGCCAAAATGGTTCCGAAAAACCTTTCTCAGTGAACCGTTTCTTGGCCAGTAAGAACATTCCTGTTGCTCCTCACCCCCTTATTCGCCCGACTTGAGTCCTTGTGACTTTTTCCTCTTTCCGAAATTGAAGAATCACCTCAAGGGACATCATTTTGGGACAAAGGAAAACATTCAAACGGTTGTAACCGACCAGCTGAAGGCTATTCCAATATCCGATTTCTACCAGTGCTACTTGACCATGGTTCAAAATTACGTGGTCCGTCGCCAAAAGCCTTCGTGTAGCTGAACAGTGTGACGTTAATATTCAATCAATCAATCAATCCACCAGTGCTATGAGGAGTGGAAGAAACGTCTCCAGCGCTGTGTGGCTTCAGAAGGCAGTTACTTTGAAGGAGACAATGTTGAATCGTAAGTTTATTGGAATAAACAAGTGAAAAAAATCAGTGTCATTATTTAATTTACACATCTCGTACATCGCAGTCAAGGCAAATATTTCTGATTGTAACATTCAATATACGATTTTTTTTAACCATTATTGCGTTCTATGGTTTTGAATGTCTAATCATTTCATCATTTTCTTGTGCATGTCTGCATATAATATCCATTTCCCTTGGATAACATTAACTGTACATTCTAAAACTGGCTTGAAATAGTACTTGGTAACTTTGTGTGGAATGTATTGGAAGTTTGGTATTTCTATTCATCATCCACTTCCTTCCTCAAGTCTTTCTCGGCCAAAATTTTTGTCCCTTATTCATGTAGTACCATTTACTATGCATTAGTTTTAAGTGTTCTTTCGTTTTTTTTTTTCTTCTGATTCTTGGGAGGGAAGGAAACATATCACGCTCTGCTTAACCTGTCCAAACCTGAAAAGCTGTGGTTGACTGCATTTTGTTCTAGAAATTTGTGCGTTGAATCATCGTTTTTCGAACAAACATTTATGCGAACGTGATAAGACACTGAATTTGATGTAATCGGAAAAATACTGATCAAGAATTCGCTCCTTTTTGAACTTGAGACGAAGGTATGTTGCTGGCTTAAATTATTTTATATGTGTTGATTATGTATTTAATTTTTTAAAAATAACAGTGGAGGTCTCTTGTCTAAATATGCGTTCAAAGACTTTCAATAAAGTTCCCAACGAATCAGTGATGATTCTGATATTAATTTAGCTTCATCGAATGAAAGCAAAGTTGTTGTAAGATATTATTTTTCTTTTAAAATTGTTCTTGTACGGTAATTTAATATATCTATTTTCTTATAAAATTCTTCCGCGAAAAAAAAAATTCGTTTCCGAATTAATCATACGTAGTAAAGTTTTGAAGTTTCTTGGAAACACTTATCAATTCTAAAATGTTTTTGAATAATCAGTTTTGTGTTCTTAAACTAGTGTGATTATTTTTATGAAATACACAGTCCAACCTTTATGTAACGAAGTCGTTTAATCCCGAAAAAAGTTCATTATATGGAAAATTCGTTATATAGAGGTTCATCTTTCAATTTTCTTTTATCCACATAAAGCAAATATTAAAGTCATAAACTATATATTAAAAGAAGTAATTATTCACACATTTTTTGTAAATTAATATATATTTATTTTGTATATCTTACCTATCAAAAAGTGTGACAAATCTATACGGAACTTTATCACTAACCTTCTGAGACGTCTTTTTATGGAAATTTAATTCCCTACCTATTTCCAATCAGCTCCAAAAAGAGGACAGGGATTCCGTGTTATGCAGATTAGATAAAGTATTTAAGTCAAATGGAATAGTAAAGTGAGAGGCAGTAGGAGAGAGAGATTGAAGCAGGAAGTTATAATAGTGAAGTTAGAGATTTATTATTGAAGATTTCTAGGTGGATAAATTAGGCTCAGGAAGAGCTGAGATTCAGTGTGGTAAATATTGATTTATAATTAAAGTCTCATTAAAGTTTTATATTAGGAGTGAGATTAAAGTTAAATGTTCAATAGGAACATTATTGAATATAATTCTGGGATCTCTTATTGCGGTAATCTCTGCATGATCGATATTCTAATTGTTAATTAATTGGATCAGTAAATATTTAAGTTAATGTAAAGGAAAGTCCCATTTAAACCTCATAAAGCTATTTGAATTATTTGTTATTAAAAGTATTTGATTCTATTTGGGAAAGATAACCAAATAAAGAAAGTTATTCATAAAAATGGCTACTGGTTCTTCTTTGACTCAAAATTATTCTCGTTCTCAAAGTGAGATCCAAGGGGATCTTCACAAAAGAAAGAAAAACTGCAAGAAAAGTTTCTTGTCACCTTGATCCATTTCCTGAAGAATTAAATGTTTTTCTTTGATCCTCAAGTACTTAAGTTTTGAACAGCTTTGAGAAGTTACGAAAGAAACGATGTTACCAGTACGACTGATCTACACTACAAATGAATGGAGACTAGATCAAGGACAAGAGATTCCCTGGTGGGTAAAAGGGGATGTCGAACACGTTTCCAGTGTACTGATCAATGGGGTTTTTAAAGGTTTTACTGGCTGGATGAAATGCCCAGAATTCTATTGCTCTCGGTGAGTTAGGGACCTAATAAAACCAGTTTAAGATTTATGACTACAATAAAATGTGTTAAAAGAGAGAACAACTTGAAATGTCCAGAAATAATTTTAAAATAGGGAGAAAAAAGCTGAATCACAAGAGAAAAAGTTCGTTATATAGAAAATTCACTTCACTATTGGGAGGTAACTTACGAAGAAAATCGTGAAATGTTCAAGGTTTAAGGAAAAAGTTCGATATATAGAAAAATTCGCAATATAGAGGTTCGACTGTATGTGCTTGTTATATTCTCTCAAATTCATTTATATGTACATAAACTATAAACACAAGTAATATATAAAAAAAGTTTCAAATCAATTCCTATTTGGTCAACAAAGAAGAATTTTATTTTAGTTACTTTTTATTAAGCAATTAGAATTAATATAAACATGTATGTATGTGTGTGTGTGTGTGTTAGAGAGAGAGAGAGAGAGACAAATAGAATCACTATATTGAGTGACAAAATAGAAAGCGATTTTTCTTGCAATTTTACATTTTCTTTTCTGTATATGATGTTAGGCTATTTTTTTTGTTTGTTACTATTTATTCATTAATCACAAATTTAATTATTCTAATAAAATTGTATAGTAAAAAAAGAAAGCACATCCTCAGAAATTAGGCCATCCCAGGTAGGATTCCAACCTATGACCTTTGAATTAGGAGTCCAACGCGCTATCCATTGCGCTTTAGTGACACAACAAAAGACTTTCCTTTCTATATGTACTGTTGGACTATTATTTTTGTTCGTAACTATTTATTTATTTTTAATTTAATTAGTGCATTAATATTTGAAAAAACTGTATTAACATCTAGTGTCATCCACTACAAGCTTTAAAAAATGTATTTGAACTTGAATGGACGAATAGAAAGTATTTTATTAACGATTGAAAATTTGAACAAGAGATATATATATAGAGAGAGGGAATTAATAGTAGGAATTGATAATAGAGTGATGAACTTCAAAGAAATAAGCTAAAATTTTTACAGACAGAAATTAGAGTTTTCGAGGTCCAGCGCGTAGCCCTCATACTCAGAGCTAAAATTTTTAGAAACATACATCATTAAAAATAATCTGATACGATTAAAACTTACATTAATAAGCTATAAAAAATAAATATATGTTTGAGCGAAAAAACGTAAATAAATTACTTCTTGATTTATTTTAAACCTATATACAACTAAACATTCGTCTAACAGACTACCTGCATCTTCAGATGCATGATTTGTACTTTCTGTCCTTCTCAGAAACGTAGAATGACAAAGTACGTACACAACTGCTGTAACAGGGCTATTTGTGAAGAACACCCTTTTAACGTTTGCCAAGATTACGAACGCTGATTTTTACCACCTTTCTGTTTTTTATAATTGACGTATAACACTTCTCTTGACACTATTTTAACACTTTTTTACACTAATTTGTTTGAAATAAATGATGAAAATGTAAAAATAAACTTATTTTTAACTCTTAGTCTGAGTTGAATGATTAACAGTGATTTAAGAGTTTAATTATCTAGGTTTTAAAAGAAGCTTTAATTAGTTAAATCAATTATAGTTTTTGAATCATCGACAAAATTACTGGGTAAGAAAATTCACTAAATTAAATTTTAAGTATTTAATAAAACTAATAACAATACTATAATTTTCATTTTGATATCGTTTGAAAAAATGTATTGATATTATTTAGTTTGAAAACGTTAAATGAGATATCTTAACCAAATGATTTTATTTTTATTTTTGAATAGCAATCTTGACAGAGGAAAAAACAGTTTTTCCTCGGAGTGCATAATTTTAAGCGTTAGTCACTCATAATTTTTTTTAAAAAAAAGATTTATTTGATTCAGTAGTATTATCAGCAAACGATTTGTTGCGTGTTTAAAATGATTTTTGGAATTAAGTTATACCGTACTGGGCACGCTCTCTTGTAATTTTTCTAGCATATTTTTTCCTTTTGATTTCATAAGTGCATGTAGATAATTTTTTTACAAAAAGTAATAAATGGATCGATTATTAAGAATTGTAAGCTAATAATATACTGTCCCTTCAGATGCACTATTTCCTATCCTAAGATTTAGCCTTGAATATTTCCTGATCTGTTAAATAGAATTGCAGGGATTTTTATTTATAAGGGTTTCATATATTTCTTGATGAATGCAATTTTTTTAAAATTTTAGTATGTTATCCACATTTTGTAATTTACTTCTTTTTGTAATTGTATTTTATGCTTTATATATTTCATAATCCTACTTCAATTTTTTTTATGCTTTTAGGACTGAAGGGGAAAAAAATCATTATTGTCTCGTGCAAAAAAACATTTTTTTTTTAAAAAAAATTACACTCTCCAACGTCCTCTCGGACATAAGGCGTATTGCAATCCAGTCAAAACAGTGCAAAAAACGTTGATTACTGTTGAGTAGAAAATTTTTATATCGTCCTCTGTTTTTTAAACGTTTGGAGTCCAAAACCCTTTTATGTACTCGGATGTGATTTCAAGGAGAATTTTACGAAATATAAATTGTAGTCATTTTTTTATAAGGAGAATTTGGATGGGGGAAGGAGTGGCTTCGATAATGAGAAACTTATTTTTTGCTGAATAACTGGGTTAATTAACTTCTCTAAAAAGGTAAGAAGTTTTAATTAACAGTTGATTAATTTTGACCTGTTAACATTATAATTTAATTCCCCTTGAATCATTAACCTTGATACCAATTTTGTCTAGCTACGTTGCGAACTATGAAAATGATTGTGAGTATATATTTTTGTCGAGAGAGATACTACTTTGATGAGAGACGTATTAATTTTTTTTAATGCTTGAATAATTTATAACAACTACTTGTTGTACATAAAATCATTTTCTGTGAATTTTAATTACGCGAAATAAATTGTATTTTATCATTAAAAGTTTCGTTTTTGTTTCAAGAATTTCTGTGTGTAAAAACACGTTCTTTCATGTTGTAATTTTGTAGATATTAGGAATTTCTTTTTTTTTTTTCTACTGAATTAGATACAATGGAAAATTTCTGAATTTGATATGTTTGTGAGAGGATCGGTTTGGAATTTCATAATGTTAAAAAATATTTCGTTTGACGGGAGCTTTCAATCACCACGAGCCTGTCCTTGAGCGCGAAGTATTATTTTACAGAATTTAACAATAGTACCGTTACGAGATCCACCATTGTTTGTTGCTGAATGCGAATATTTACTTACTGACGAAGTTGTATATTTTCAAGTATTATTGCATTCTCTTCATGACACTGTCCTTAATTCCACGTTTCATTGTTTAGTAATTTTGCGATTTTCAACATGGTATGCATCAATCACAGCAGTGAAAAGAAACTTTTTTTTTCAGTACAACTACATCAGTTAATGTAGGGATGGCGATCTGAGATCAATTAATCGAAAAATCGATTTCTCGGGCCAAAAAAATCGATTTTTTAAATCGATATGTAACACTGAATCGATATTTCATTCTAGAAAATCGACATTCGATTTTTTTCCGTTTTGGTAAAAACCATAAAAAACGAAGAATTGAAGCACTATTTATCGCAGGTAGTTGTGCACATGAAGTATGATCCTATACTTTACTGGCAATAACAAAAAAACTCTTATTTATATATCATCACGTTCACTAAATAGCCATGATGTAAAATATGAGTATCGTGGGATCATCTGTTCCTTTTCGTCTTTTTTCGATTGCTGGCAAAATCACAAGTGATGAGCGGAAACACTTGAATCCTTGTAGACTTGTGTGAGATTGTTGTTTTTAACAAGTTCAGATACTAAGCATTGGGAACTATAAGCTATATTATCTATTTTCTAAACTGTTTAATGCAACAAATACATTTAGAAAATAAATGTCTTCTTTTAATACCTGATACTTTGATATGGTAATAAAAATAATTGTATTTGTCGAATTCCCTGAACTAAAAAAATCCCCTGATTTTATTGATAAGAGATAGATTATATATATTATGGTATCTTTCTTGTTTTCTTTCATAAAATGGATTCATGTTTACATCGTAAATGCAGACTTGAAAAAAAATCGATTTTTTAGAAATCGATCATTTAGACCTAGATTTTTTTTGTGAATCGATTCATCAGGTTACGATTCGAATCGATTTAAAAATCGATCTTTTTCTGAAAGAATCACCATCCCTAAGTTAATGCCTATAGCAGGGGTGGCCAACCCGCGGCACGCGTGACACAGTGTGGCACGATAAAGTTGTAGCGGTAGCACGCGAAGACTTACTGAAAATTTTTTCAAAAAAATTGAAAAGATAATAAATAACTATTTTTTTCACAATTTTATTGAAGTGGGGGTTGTCTCAGACAAAAAAAATCTCGAAATTAAGATCAAACTATGTTTGTGTGTGTGTGTGAATAAATGTTTTCTGCTATGAACATAATGAAATAATAATCACTTAAAACTAGCTAATGTGCACCTATAATAACCTAGCATCTGTAAGAGCTAATCCTAATATAAATGACTTGGTAAAAAAAAGTAGTAATTCAAAAACCACATTTGGTAAATTCAGAGCAATTAATAATTATTTTGAATTAAACTAAAAATTGGATTTACTCAATTTTATTTTATATTTAACCCAACTGATTGCCTAATAAAACCTAAGTTTGTACTTTCGTTTCTTTTTTCTTTTGTTATACTTATTAATTTTAAATTTCAAGTACATAGACGCATTAGAAATTGCCATTGGGGAAAATTACATTATAAGAGTACCTTTTTTTCACTTTTTTATGTTTGTTGAGAAAGTTGGAAGTGGCATGCATAATTATTTTTTTTATCTAATAGTGACACTCTTCCCAAAAAAGTTGGCCACCCCTGGCCTATAGTAACGATGGGCTAAATTCACGTGACGTCATAGTCACACGATAAAAGCAATCATGTGTTTCCAGCTAATCAGTTTATGCGCTTCGTTGTTGCCAACTTCTGCTCTTTGCAGAAACTTTTTCTTAAAAAAGTACACATGTAAAATGTATTTTATTTAAATGTACTTGCATACAATTATTTTTTTTTAATTTTAAAATCTTTTTGAAGAAATTCTTTTTTTATTACATTAAAATATCGTTATGCAATTTTAAAACTTGAAAGTTTATGTAAGTTTTTCAAATAGAGAACAAGTACAATTAACTTAACGCCAGTTTTGAATTCAATGGAGAACATGTGTTTGTCTTTATCATGTGATCGTCATGAATTGAGGCCATTGATGTTAATCAGCATATTCCTCCAATGTGTGTTGTTCCTGTCGTGTACTACAATTATGTGCACATAGATTAAAGTTGTATGTTTTATGTTACTGTTAAAGCCTGAAAGCCGTTAATGTAAAGATTAACTGATTTGCTATGCTAAAGTGCGGGGAATCAAGAGTTTTCCGCATTTTAACTAGGTAATCTTCACATTAGCGGATTCTGTATCGTTAAAGTTCAAAAGTTTGTTTCTCGCATTTCCTTTCTGTAAGAAATTTTGATTGAGTGGTTATAAGTTGTGCTCACCGTAAAAACCAATAACTGTGCAATTCAAAAGTGCGGAAACAAGAGTTTTCCGCATTTTAACTAGGTAATCTTCACATTAGCGGTTTCTGTATCGTTAAAGTTAAAAAGTTTGTTTCTCGCATTTCCTTTCTGTATAAGGAATGACATAGAATGATTTTATAAAGTAAATCGTCTGCTTAGAAA